TAACACAAAAATGTAAATCTCACAATGCTGTTTAAGTAGAGTATTAGGATGAGATAATGCATTAAGTTAGCAATGGGGAGCTCATCTCAGGTGATCGTATCCATAGTGACCAAATCTTTAAGAATTTCAGTGGATAGCCTCTGCTTTTATAACTAGCTGTATAGAGATAGATGTACAAGAAAACTCTGGTTCATTCTCTATTACAAATGGGGGGGGGGAGGTGCGTTGGGTTTCATTTGAGTACAATGGCTTTCTGAGCATAATACAATAATAGATCCCATAGGCTCCACCTGACCCAGGAGGCAGACCTTAGTTGTATATATATCTAGATCTACATCTAGATAGATAGATAGATATATATATATACACACACACACACACACACACACACACACACACAATATTACCAAAAGTATTGGGACGCTTGAATTCACTGATCTCCTGAGAGCGACCCATTCTTTCGCAAGTGTTTGTAGAAGCGTCTGCATGCCTAGGTGCTTGATTTTATACACCTGTGGCCATGGAGGAGATTGGAACCTGAATCCAATGATTTGGAGGGGTGTCCCAATTCTTTTGGCAATATAGTGTATTTCCAGCCTTTGATCATAGCCGTCATTGACAACCTTCCATCATAAGTCTGGGTTCCCTTGGCTAGCCGCTTCCGCCACCAGTGCATTATTTTCCTTATTCACAATGAACCAGTTGTGTGCATAAGTTAGTTGAAAGCATCCATGGTATCCTACTCCATTCCTTCTCTTAAAACTAAACTATCTTTTCTACCATTCCGTTAAACTCTTACACTTGCATATCAACGCTCATACTTTGTAAAAGAAAATATCTAAAAAAAAGTTTATTTTTATATTGTAAGTGTTACCTTTAACCCTTTGACTGCAGCCAAAGTAATTAGGTCGGCAGCAGCGCTGGCATGTACACAAACTGCTGGATGCTATAGCAGCTGCAAGTTTGTTCACATTTTTACTCCTGGCTGCCATCTTTCTAGTAATAGTTATCCAGGCAGCTGTAAAGCCACCTCCTCAGTTCTACATGTAGAAGGTAAAGCTGCCAGCCATGTGTCCCGGGCTTACCTGTCCTTCCTGGGTAGTGTGAACCCATAAGTGCTAACTGCTTCTGGGGTCAGGGCTGTCCAACCCCGGCACCCTTGGTCAGGGAATAAGCTAACCAAGTACAGTTTGTGCTCAATCAATGTCAACAGAGTGCAGAGGTGACATTAGGGGTCCTCTGATGTCACCCAAATAAAAAAAGATTCAAAAGCCCCCTTCTCCCATGCATGTACTTATGAACACAAATGCACGTATCGATTGCATGTGTGTGAAAACAGTGATTGCACCACACATATTTGGTGCTGTTGCACATATTGTAGTGAAAGCAATCATTCTAGGGCCATCATTCACAGTTAGCGCTTAACTGTCTTGTAAAGGCAAAAGCATCGCCTATGGTCAGTTTTCCTTACTGTAGATTTTCGCCATTTTACTGGTACATGCAGTTTTAAGACTGACATATTTTGGCATCTGTTTACTTGACGCAACCTCATCTTTTAGATCTTACAAAACATTGGGTATCATATTGTGTTTGAGCCTAAATGTAATTAGTGTGTATTTCCTACTGAAAATAATACCTTTGATAAGCTGCAGTGCAATTATCGTGTGACATTAACCACCTCAGGGCCGGCCGTTGTAAAAAAATGGCCGGCCGAGAGGTCTCTAGATTTGAGCGGGCGTCTTTAGACGTCCGCTCAGACACGCCCCCCTTGCGTGACTGCAATAAGTCTAGGGCCATCAATCACTGATAACACTAAACTGATGAGCGGTAAAAGCTTTTAAAGTGTCATGTTTGGTGTCTATTTACCCGACGTGACCCGATCTTTTATATTTTACCAAAAAACTGGGTACTAATAAATGTTTCCTAACATATTGTAAAAAATTAAAACCCCCCAGTGGTGTTTAAATACCACTAAAAGAAAGCTCTATCTGTCCCCAAAAAATTGTATAAAATTCATTTCAGTACAGCGCTGCATGACGGAATAAACGTCAGTCAAAGTACCGCAGTGCTGAATACTGAAAAATGTCCTGGCCAGGAAGGGGGTCTAAACACCTGGTCTTGAAGTGGTTAAAAAAAAACCTGCAGCTGCCACCTTTGTATTCTAGGGGGTCTCTGTTTTCAAAAGATATAGAATGTTTAGGGGTTTAGGGGTTTTTAGGTAATCTTTAGTACAGAAAAGATAGTTCCAGCCTTGAAAGAGTTTAGGAGGGACTTGAGTCTCGTAGAAAAAAAATATTCTGCATACATGGCTAAACATTCTTCTAAATGACCTGCCCTCAAACCTAGAATACAAGTGTAGTGCATGTGCTATTGGCTCCATCATTAAAGAAAATATGGTTGAAGAGCACCCCTCCAATTTAATAGCTGCCTGGGGGGATTAAAAGAGAAGACCATCTGCATACAACTCCAATCCACAGTGTTGAACACTCCATCATTACAATGAATCTCGAATCTACATTTGCACATGATAACTCCAAGTATGTAAAAAGTCTCTTGAGATTGATATCTGTGCGTTTATTGGAATACATCCAGTCTACTCTGAGTCCATCAAACCTCCTATCACATGTGGCAGAAATTTGGGAAGAATTTAATATAGAAATGGGCCTGTGTGAGGTATAGTTTAGTGAGTTCCTGCCAGTGACTGGAGTGGCAGTGCATATAAAGTGCATTCATCTAGGGGCAATCATTTTGCAATATTACTTATATCTCTCCGATGGGAGACAGTCCTGCCCCGGTATCTTCCTTTTTGGAAAGGAGAAGATTGCACCTTCAGGCCTGGTTCACACGTGGGCGTTTTATAGTGCGTCGGAATGCGCTGAAAAACGCCCTACACCCAAAGAAGTACAGGAGCTTCTTTGGGGCATATTTGCCGTGCGTATCCATTAGGATCAGGGGTGTGGAATTCCTATCGCCTGATGCCCGGGATATGCAGATCTGATCACTTGTATGAAACGAGAAGCAGCGATTCTGTTGCAAAGGTATCAGAGAGGCTTGGGGGGCAGTTGCCACCCTGCCCCCGGGCCCAGTCCGCCCCCGGGTCAGACTAATCCAGCACATTATTAATCTTAGTGCCCCACTCAATATGACCACAAGTGAGGGGCATACTGAGTGGGGCAACTCAGA